CTAAACTTTTGGGATGTAAGGTAAAAAAAGCTTTCTATCAAATACTTGGGTATGCCCTTGGGAGCAAAATATGAAGATGTGAGGATATGAGACCCAATTGTGGCCAACTTCGAGAAAAGGTTGGCAGGCTGGAAGAGGAATTTGCTATCCAAAGGAGGCACCTCACTCTTATCAAAAGCATGCTTTCTGACTTGCCTGTGTGTTATATATCTCTTTTAATATTTCTGGCGAAAATTGCAAAGAAACTAGAAGTAATTCAATGCCAATTTCTATGAGGTAATTTGGAGGAACGAAGGAGATATCACTTGTTGGCATGGGATGTTCTCAAAAGACCCTCGCATCAAGGAGGGTTGGGGCTGAAATCAATAATTAAATTGAATAAGGAGCTAGAGGATAAGCGGATTTAGAGGTTTATAAAGAATGAGACTTTTTTTTATGCAGAGTTATTGGAGCTAAGTTTGGTAAAATGGAAAGGGATTGTTTTCCTAGAAGTGTCTCAAGACCGTACGAGGTAGATGTGTGGAAAAGAATTGTATGAGGAGAACAAATTTTCAAAAGTGTATTAGATAGGGGCGGATAATAGGAAGAAAATTAGCTTTTGGACGAATCCATGCTAGGTGAGGAATCACATTGTACAATCACAAGGCACAAAAATAATTTAAGTGAAGGAAGTGTCTAGAGTGATTGGGGTGGGAGAGAGTGGCGTGTGGAGTTTTTAAGGAATCTGAATGATTGGGAAGTTTGTGAGTATGAATACCTTTTGGAAGCTTTGTCTTCTGTGGTTCTGGTGGAGAGTGATGATTAACCAATTTGGACACTCAATCAGAATGGGTTATTTACGGTTGGGTCTTTCTATAAACATTTGGTTAAGAATGATGTTGTGGATGGTAAATTCCCATCATGGCAGATATTGAAAGTAAACACTCCTAGAATCGCTTTCTCTGCTTGGGAAGCAGGTTGTGGGAATATTTTGACCATCGATAAGTTGATTAAATGGGCAAAATTTTGGTAAATGAGTGCTAGCTATATAAGAGGGCTTAGGAGACGTGATCGTACTTTACTTGGTGCCCCTTAGTGTCTAAGTTATGGTGCATGGTATATGGAATTTTGGTCTTCAGCTGGGTAATAGTGGGGAGTCTAAGAGATGATATTTGGGCATGGAAAAACATGTAGATCTCATTCCTCTTACAACTTTTTGGCTTGTATGGAATGAAAGAAGTAGAAGGACTTTTGATGGGGAGGATGAGGGAGTTTGATAGGGTTAGAGATAGTGGTATTAACTTTTGGGTTTTTTGGTTATAGGTAATTACTTATACACTATGGAGAATTTTGATAACCTCATCGAAGTCTTTATTTACCAGTAAATATCTTTTGTATACCGGTTGATACTCCCTTAGTGCTTGTAACTAATGAATACATTTTATATTTTTTATTTTAAAAAATAAAAGAAATTAAATCTTCCTATTCCTTTTAGATAACATTCCAAAATGTTATATACTTTTATTTGTTCTGTCTCATATTTCTGATTATTGAAATATGCCCATATTTTAGGAATTAATTATTATGCATCAAAAGGTTCTCCAAATAAAGTGATTTTCAATGGAGAAAGTTAAAGAGAGAAAGTCCTCAACATCACAGGATTTTCTCATATCTCTTTTTCTTGTTACTTGTTTCCCTCAACTGTACCTGATTGGCAAAAATGAAGATTTTGGTGTTTGTGAGCAAATTCTTTAACATCATTCTAGAAGGCTGGTGACATGCTTCAGATTAAAGGGAATGGTTAAAAATAATTTTTTTATAAATATCTTGATGATATTAAATTATCAGCGAGACTTATGAATATTTTTTATTGTAAAATATCAAACTAATAAATTAGTAAAAAGTAAAATTAGTAAATATACTCATTAAGAAATATTATTCATTAAGTATAGCACAATTAATAGCTAATTAGCATTTGTTTTTCAGTTTTTGGTATCATATTTTATCTCTTAGCCAGAAATGACTTCTGCATTTAATTAAAAGTGCTCATGGTTTTGGGTTTTGTCCAAGCTTCTGCTGTTTTACTGCAGAAGCACAAATTAGAAGTTAGACCAAAGATGTACCATCATATTTTAAGGTCGCTAGGGGGTAGCTTTGAGAGAGCGCTTATAAGCCCTCTAAGAGTAGCTTAGCTTGAGGAAATGTTTATAATAGTTCCAAATAATTATAAAAATTTGAATTTCAGTTTCTATTATTTTAAACACAACAAAGTAATCAATTTGTTTTCTCATTTTAACAAAACTGAGAGCTTGTATTTGAAAAGGATTCATCAAATTACCAAAACAATTCATCAAATTATTTGAAGAGATTTGCAGCTTATAGACAGTTGAAGGGCTTATAAAGTCAATAATTTATGAGTTCCTATATTTTAAGCTGAGTCAGACACCTTTTCAGTTTTTTTGTTTTTACAGCTTGTAGCTAAGCAGAACTTATCATTTTCTTTTTCAAAAGTTATGGTCAAACTTAACTTGTATTTGTGGAACTGAGATATCATTTTCCCCTTTTTTTTTTTTTTTTTTGAAGTCTCATGCAGACAAAAGGTGGATACAACTGTTGAAAACAATGCTTGGGAAGTTGAAAGGGCATTTACTCGAGTGCCAAACAACATAGCTGAGGATGATCAACCTCTGTCAAAATGGATTGGAGGAATTCATTCCTCGAATGTCGAAGAGTCAAGTAATTTAATTGGTCCTATTAATACTTTCCTGATTTTATAATTTGTTATCTATTTTTTCTGAGTTGGGTATATCTGTCTAGGAATTTTATCTGGCCGGACTATCAATGAATGGAATGAGGCGAGAGAGAAACAAGTCAATCTTGTGATGGAGGGTTCTGTACTTGCTGGCAAAGAGAGTGATGTCTCTAACGAGCATCAAACATTATCTTTTGTGAAACAATCACCTATTTGGGAAACCATTGAATCTATGGAAATTTTTCAACTACTTCCCCAGAGGCCACATTTCCGTCCTTTGAGTAAAAGCAAGGAAGAGTATCGTGAAGGATCAGCTATTGGCATTATGGTAACATTTGCCGGTCTGTTTGAGAAGATTTCCATGTTGCAGTTGGAAGATTCTAAGAGTGTATTTTACAGCATTCTGGAAAGTCTTCTTGACCTAGAGAAGCATGGATTCGATGTTACAGTTCCGAGAAATCGTGTAAATGAACTGCTGTCTATTAAAGATGGGGAAGGACAACTCCTTGATGAGTCAAAAGAGGCCGAAAAGGAGATAGAGGTGCATACAAACAAAATAACAGAATTTGATGAAGAGATGGAAGACATTAGAAAAAAGATTAATGAATTAGAGAATCAACATGCAGTTTTAAAATCAAAGAAGGAAGCTGAGAATCTTGTGATTGGGAGGCTGCGGTTACAGGTTGATGATCTTAACAAACAGACTGAGAATGCAAAATCTGAGTTTCGAGAAGCAGCTACTGCCCCTTGGAAGTAGTTAAGAAGATAAGTATTAATTTTATTTCATTTACTAGTAAAATGCAATTATATCGGCAATATTCTAGGTCTGATCTTCTGCTATATGTAGCATCAGTTGTGTTCGGCCTCAGAATCGTCTTCTTGTATATTTCATCAATTGATAGATGTTCTTGAAAATGAAAGCCTTGTTTTGAAAATCAGAAGTACTTGTGTCATCATTGACACCCTTCAAGAATTGTAGGACTGGATCCAGTAGTTACAAAATTTAAGAAAATTGGATTCAAATTTGAATTCTCTTGTTTCCCAGTTTTTTTTTTTTTTTAAAGAGAAAATTTTGATAAATGTAGTGTGGAGGGTTAATCTAGTATGGAGTTTTGTTTTGTTTGGTGGGTGTTGATAAGTATAGTAATTGCCCTAGTTGGTCACTGAATTTCTACATTTTGGGATGGTAAGGCAATTATGCAATTAGGCAATGCTACATCGTTTTCCATTTAATTTCTTGGATGCATCAAATTTAAGGGCATGACCCTTTTCTATTTTTTAAAAAAATTAAAACTTTTCTTTGGATGATTTGAAAAACCTACTTTCCCCACAGTGGTTCAATGCATTTAGAATTTTGTTTCTGCAATAATATATTCAAGAATCAAAATTAAGTCATCAATACAAAGTAACTGTTCCCCAACGTATAGGAGATTTTATTTTCATTACCCTTGAGAGTTATTTATAGTAATTTTATCGGACCACACAGTATATATATATTCTGACATTGTTTAATTTGGTTGGTATATTCAATAATACGAGCAGATGGTAGGTAACCTAAGAATCTGTTTAGACAAGAATGATAAACTTTTGGTGGTGGAAAATTTTGGAAGGAGAAGTGGGTTTATTAGTTATTATTAGATAATTAGGCTTTCTTAAGATTGTTTTAAACACTGGTTTTGATCTATGAAGTATATGGTAGTAATGATTCAAACAGAATCTAATTTAAATTATCATTTATGCTTTTTAAACATTTTTTAACCTGATTAAAACTCTAATGAGATGGAATTTCAAGTACAAGATTTAAGACTTTTTTCCAACTACTTCAAAAGAGACATTTAATTTATTGGACCTCTTAAGAAGCAATTGATGAGCAATCCTTCTTTATTTGTTCAACAATAAAAGTACAAATCAATCAATACAAGGAAACATAATCACAAAAATCACCCAGCTTATTATATATATATATATATATATAAATTTCTACTTATTTCCATCTAGCTTCTTTAACCCACGTTTACACACAGTGAAAAGAAGAAGCACATGATACTTGCTATCAAGAACCTCCATGAGGTCTTATTTTATATGACAATTTATGGAATTTTTTTTTTTTTTTTTAATCTTTGATAAGCTAAATAAATTAATCATTGATATAACAAAAATTATTCAATAATTTGTAATAACTTGTAAAGTATATAATTTTTTAATTAATTTCAAAAAGTGAACTAGCTTTTTTGTACTGTATTAAAATTTGTTATGTAATTTATCCTTCTTTATGTAACATTCGGATCCAAAATTTAGTCCGGCATCAATTTTCGTGCGATGAAAATAATTAACAATATTATTTTAATTTAATTTTATTAATTATTTGAGAAAAAAATAGGTTATGGATGTAAATGAAAGTAATTTTAAAAAAAATTGGTGAAAATTTGAGTTACAAAGATGTTTTTAAAAGAAAAATTGAAAACAAAGAGTCAAAGTGCAAAAAGCAAAAATTCGACCACGTGAGACGGCTCATTCAGCAATCCTGAAAAATCGGAGCACGCTGCATGTCAAAACACGCTCGCACCGTCGCACTAGCGCCACGCGGGCAATCCGCATGCCTAGCGATCCTAAGGCCCAAGTTCGTTCCCACGCGCGTGAACAACTCATATTCGTTTTTTTCTTAGGTGCGATTGGACAGATAAGATCAATCGTAATGAATGACTTGAATTCGCCTGCGCAATCAGTCTAAACAAGTAAAGATCGGACAACTCTCCTCACTCCACGTCGACGTGAATCGATGGACCAAATCAATGCGAGATGAGTATATAAACATCGTGTTGCAGGGGAATCCTAATCCTAACCGCCTTGCTCTCGTCGAATAAGAAAGGCCAGCCGCCGAAAAAGGAGACTGACTCCCGGCCGCCGCCACATCGAATCCATCGCCAACCACCAAAAAAAGGTAAAATTCTCTCATACTCGCTCAGAATTCGATTCTAAGTCTCCCCATGGCCATATCGAAGCAAAAGGGAAGACGGGTGAGCCGAAAACTACTGGCAAAGCCCGACGAAGCCGTCGCGGTCGAAACCCAAAACCTTCTCCGATGAGCCCATTCCCGTTTTTTGACCATTGTGTTCACCGTCTTTTTTTGTGCAGGTTAGCCAAAGAAGAAACTCCAGCCGCGAAAGAAAACCAGTGAAGCCACCCCACTCAGAGATTCTCCCTCCGATAGGTCTGGTTTATTTGTTATTTGTGTCCAACTAAGGTCCCCTAACATATTTTTTATAGGAGTACGTGTAAAATTGACAAAAATCGGCCAAAACTGGGCAGGTCGAGGCGAACCGCCGCCGTGCCGAAACCTTAAAATTGGCCAGAAAGGGTTTTTGACACACATTTGGAGTTTTTGAGGTATTTTTAGTTGCGTAACGAGTGTTTTGAATTCTCGCAGAAAAATTCAAGAAATCCGAGACTCGTTAGGTGGCGTAGTAGACAAGACGATATCTCAAAACACTTATTCGAGTAAGGATCTCTCACTCCATTCCCTGTTACGGTAAATGAAGGCTTAATAATTGATAATTGTGTGCTTTGTAAAAATTAAAAAAAACCTTAATAATAATTATAGGGCACTAGTGGAGACAGAAAATTAGTCAATGTATGATTGTCCTAAACTTGTCTATATGGCTATTTACTTTCTTGTACTACCTAAATTGCTTATTTTTCTACCGTATGACTTAAATTATCACA